GGGAGGGTGACGCATGGGGTAGGAACATATCCCAAAATTTCAGCCCCCCAACTTTTCTGGTTGCTGAAATAAAAAAAGATGATAAAGTTCACTCAAGCGAAAGTTCACTCAAGTGAACGCACACACACACAGATAACCTCCCCACAGTATGCGTTATAAAAATGAATAATAACAAAATAAGGCACAAGTACTTACTTCTTTATAAGTATTTTTGCTCTATTTACTGATTTTTATGGAAACACATGATTCTAGTCGGAAGGCTATCTTATCGTGGTCTAGGAACGGCAACATTCGGGATGAACTGATAATGCTCAACACCGATAAGGACATTTCGAAATCTTTCAGGAGACGAAATGAACGCTAAGACCATCAGCATACCAACCAACAGGTGATAAAGCACCGCTTAAATTAACTGGAAGGTTATTAGATGAACAAATGGAGATTCTGACCATGAATTAACACCTGACCCCAAGTATTCCAAAAACTTCTATACATACAAAAATACTACTGCATAAAGTCGTTTAAGATTACATGTGTTTCTGTAAGCATAATTAAGTATGCGGAAATATTCCTTAAAAAGTTCCAAAATATTTCCTTGCCTCAGACTAAGAGAGGATACGAAATGTGCAAAAGAATAATAAAAAGATGACATTAAAAAAAGTATTAGAACGTCAACGCTCAAAGTCCCGTTGCATTTTCCAACTCAAAAAATCTTGCTCCTGAGTATTGCGATAACAAAGCCTTAGCAGGAGGGTTAGACTGTGAATATGAACAAAAATGCAATGCTGACAGCAGTAAAGAATTGATCAAGCAACAAGTTTGAAAACCCAATTAAATTACAGAAAGATTACTGATACTGAAGTTTAAAGAAAAATAAGTTCGCGAGGTCACACGTAAGTGAGGAATGTTCTCCTAAATTTTTAGCTTCTTAGCTCTTGTGGTTCCCGAGTTGAAAGATGTAGACAAGTTGCTGCGAACAAACACACACACACACACGCACACACACACACACAAACACGCGCACAGACAACCCGGTTACAATATGCGTTTTGTACTGCTGTTACATAGCACAAAACGCATAAAGGAGAGGAAAATGGTGGAAGAGGAACCTGATTTCTTGCACGCGTCGCTCCATTTGCAGTAGTACATTGTGCACGTTGGCCTGCATCTCGAAAATCATTCGCAATTCGCGCTGTGATGCGTCTTCGTACATCTTTGCAATTTCCTCATCCAGCGTATCTGGTTTCGCTTTTTCTGGATGCATCTCTTTGTATCTGTAATGCAAACCTCCCCTCTATCTAAACTTGTAACAAATTCTATAAAACTGACTGCACTCGCACACATTTCCTTTTGATATGTCAATCTGAGCTCCTAAACATCATCCAAAACAAACTACTACATATGCAGGAGAAGAAGAAGGGCGGAGGAGGTGGGGAGGTGGGGAGGGGTGAAAAAACCGATTTTTGAAATTTTTCAACCAAAATGCACTTTTTTTAACTCATTAATGCTTACTTGTGTCAGGCG